AGAGTTTATAAATGTTTTCTTTTAATTAATAATAGTTTCATTCAAGTTATTTTGTACAATTTTAGGTATAAATGACAAATATCGACTAAATTTGATGGAGTTAGATATGTCATGTCCTTTTCAGATCCTAAATACCCGAACCCGACCCGGATCTGATATAAACCCAAAAAATTACGGATATTTTATGGGTATTTAAATTATATATCCGAACCAACCTAGACCCGTGAAGAATCGACCCGAACCCGAACCAAAAATTTATAAGTATCTATTGGGTTAATGTTTAAGACCCAAAGAACCCGACCCGAAGATCCGAACGCCCAGGCCTATTTGACTGTCTAGCTGTTTAGCTGCCTAGTTGCCTAGCTGCTTATCTTTTTAGTTGCTTAGTTGACCTGACAATCGGTTCTAAAGCTTGCATGAGATATCCATACATCTTCAGTCATCTTTACACGACGCCGGAGGAGTCAAATCACGAACTCAACCTTGTATGTCTCCTTTAAATTTTTCAGTATTAACAGGATACACAAAAAAATATTTTTAACCTTCAAATCTTTGAGCTTCTCCTCGGCAAATTCAGTCAGTTTTGCACCATTTGTGATCACGCTTCTTTCAGTCTGCGTGATCTTTGTTTCCATGAGTACCCACCATTCTTTGAACCTCAGTTGATTCTCCATGAGCATTTCCTACTGCTCATAGAACCTCAATATATTTCTCACTCATTTTTAGATTGCAGGCTTTGATACACTTGTTATTAGTGGATCTAAGAAACCCAACAATCTGATACTGCTTTTTTACTGAATGTCTCAATAGCTCTGTGTGATGGTCTTTATAAACCTTATGAAACCAACTTCAAAAACGAATTCAACTACTCCTAATGACTGGAAAACATACATGATCAGATTTCTTTATTCTTTGGTTTTCACTGATGTTGTTGTTGTAGATCCAAACATGCCTTATAGTAACTCCCAAGGTCCATGTGAGCTAGAGCTTCAAAATATATATTGTTAAATTTATGTTAAACTTTGTGCATATGGCAAACGGACCGAGGTATTTGATTTTATTACAAACCCAAGAACTGAGCCCTACAGGTTGGTCACATTAATTCAACTTATCAATACTAGTAAAACAAAGTCCTATATTTTATCTACTTATCAATATTATCATTTAAGTTTTGGACTTATTCATATTTCACTAGATGAAAATATATATATATCAATACAATTAAAATATGAGAACGTTTTTGAAATCCTCTTATTTTACTTTCAATATTACAAATGCTCCTATTTTTATGACTAACAACTTTAATCAATTTTATTATCATTACATATAATTCAATATATATATATATATATATATAATTTTAGTTTTAGTTTATAAATGAAAACTAAATTATAATAACCTCTGATTATATTTTATGATAATTAGTATTTTAATTAATGAAATTTCGAAAATAAATTCTAAAAAGATTTTAAAAAGACATTTCAACGAGTTTGTTAGAATTTTTCAAAAATATTCATTTGTATTTCAAATAAAAATAAATAAAGATATTGAAAAATATTACAATTAAATTAGGTAAGTTTTCATATAATTCTGACAAATATTTCAAACTAAAAACCAAAATAACAAAAAACAAACCAAACCCCAATTAATAAATAATAAAATATTAATATATTTTATGAACTGAAAACAAATATTTACAAGCAAAATGAAATCAAACCGAAAATCAATAAATACAATCTAGCACGAACCAAGTTTAAATAATATCATTAATCATTTAACTGTAATTTAAGTAAATTATAAATAATCTAGTTAGAGTGTTATTTTTGATAAATTTAAGGGATAAACTGCCATTAGGTGCACTGTAACTAATGATATCACCAAAAGACTTATATATGGGGAATATCAAAGTCAGGGCTATTGATGAAGTGTGATGATGTACATGGAATATCGACTGAGTCTTTGAATGCAACTCGAGTTGGGATTATGGGACCGGAGAGGAAAAATCCGATGGATGATTTTTCTTCGATGTAGGATACTTCATCCGGTCAAGAGGATTTTTAGTTAGACTGTTATATAGTCAGAAGGATTATATGTATTAGAGGTTTAGGAACTTGGCTCTAATTTCAATTAAATTCAGGGTTATTATAAGCTTTCAACTTAAAATCATTTGATGATAATTAGATCGGTAGTAAACCCTTATATATTACATAAAATTCTCTTATACTATAATAGTTCCCGTAATAAATTTAGTGTGTAACGAACAAGCTCGTATATCCAACGTAAGGTGGAACGTTACTTGGACGTCTGTTAGTTTGTTTAATGGACAAGTATATATATATGACGAAACAAAACAAGATTGGAAAAGAGCCAGAATATATTCACTTGATTACAAATGGAGCATTATTTTTGTTTCTATAAAGGATAATTTTAAAGAAGATGGTGGCTCAGCAAAGACGAAGAAAAGCAAAAAGCTCTCTCAAGCTTTACCTATGAACTCAATGTCAAAGAGAAGAACCGAAGCTGGTGGAATGAGACATGAGCCTACGCAAACAAGGGTTACGTATAACTAATTAATTATTTATATAATTATCAACAACTAACATAAGATTAATGTAGCAGTTAAGTAAGTTCTTCAGTTTACTGTTTACCTCCTTTGCAACCTGCGCCTCGATCACCATACGCGAGTTCTGGAGGAATCTTTAATGTCCGTTTCCCACCTGAAGTAAACAAACCAAAATAAAAACTAAGTCAATGATGAAAGCATAACAATGTTTCTGTATATTTAAACTAAACTCGACCATTCTCTATCCACTATCAAACAGTTTCATGTATGCAATAACATTAAGCATGAAAAGAAATATCGACATACCAGTAAGCATAGCAGGAACTCCATCAGAGCCAAGGATTCCTTGGTCCCAACCTTTAATCACCTGTAAATATATATCCACAATTAATTCAGTTTATGAGTTTCTGAACTTCACATAATATTAAAGTCCAAATATTATTTCCTTAATTACCTCACCAACACCAATCCGGAAAGTTAAAGGCTTCCCTCTATTATAGCTACTATCGAACACTTTCCCATTCTCCAACTTCCCCACATAATGTGCCTGCAAAAGAGATAATCCAAAAACCATCTAACATCATTAAAAATAATGGAAAAATAAAATTGAGATATTAATACAAATGATATTTGATCACCTTGATTAGTTGTCCTTTAACAGCTGCAGGACCATATCCAACTACCTTATCGCAGAAAGCAAGACCAGAAGGAGAGACAGAGAATTCACAAGAAGTTGTTTCGGCTAATGCTGAAATGCTATCAACAAGACTAATGCAGAAACCAAAACCAATAACTGCTTCTCTTCTACCATAAGAAGCTGGTTGAACAAAACTTAACTCATGATCAGAAACCTTTTGTTTGCTTCTCAAGTTAATAGCCTCTGCTTTGGTTAAGCTACTGCTCACAAAACTTCTGCATTTTCTTTGCTCACTTGGTGGAGAACAAGTCCCAACAGAAAATCCCAAGGAGCTCATTATCTTCTCTATCTAGAAAATTTTATGAAGGAGATAATAAATGGTTTGTGTAAGAATGGCATCTTTGGAATTATCAGTCATCCTTGCTGGCAAACAAAAGAACCACACAGAATTGGGGTTTATCTTTAGCCCAATTTCAATATTCGAGGCCCAATATGAACACAACAGAAGAGTTGACTATGGGAATAGAATCTTAGTTACATTTTGTGTTCCTTTTGATAATCTATATAATAATAGTACACTTTTGAAACTCCCCAACATGTCCACGTCACACGTCAGCAAGTTTATGGGTCCTGCGTATGTTATTAAGGAAAACAAAAATGTATAACATTTTGTAAGATTAAATGTTATCGATGAGTGATAAAATGATCCAGTGATGTAAGTTGGTGACGAGAAGTTGGTACTGCGAGTGCGCGGGTTCAAAATGCAGTGCTTGCGTGTAATTTTTTTTTTTAATTTGGACTTTTCGGGATACGTAAAAGCTTAGGGAGATTGATAATGAATTTTTATGCTGGTTGTTGGGATACAAAATGGCTTAAGGATTTGAAACTTTATGAGACCATCTTAGATACTTTTATAAAAAAAGTTATCATGTTCTAACCTCTAATAGCATTTCAATTCAGTTATAATCATCAAATAAAATAAAAACATATTTTTCAATAATAAATATTTACCCCGAACCATTCAGATCGACCATAAATCTCATATACATCACAATTTAAAAATATATATATATATATACAACATAATTTCAGAAAGAAAATTACACTAATAAACACATGTCCTTTTTTGTCTTGTCTCCATTAAATTATTTTTTTACATGAAAGCACTAATAACAGTAATGCTCGATAAAATCTATATAAAGGGAATGCTCGATAAAATCTATTAAAGGGAATGCTAGATAAAATCACTACGAAGATAAAATATGAAAATATCAACCCATATGAATTCTATGTTTATTATTTTATCAGACTAATCAAGCTGTGTGACTTCTAATGTTTCATTCATCACCATTATAGATAAGCCAGATAAATAAATGTTAAAAAAAAGCAGCAAAGTCTCATACACAAAACTACACAACACATCAACAACGTATCCAACTCCGCGCTTGCGCGGGGACTATGCAGCTAGTATTAATAACAAATGTGTTGAAGAGTTTTAGATTTCATCTTCTAGACTGTCTTGATGATTCAATACAAGACTAATTGTCCATTCTTGTTTCTTCTTTGGTTTCACCATCTTATGTTTTTTAAAATATGAAAGAATCAAATCTATAATAGTTTTAAAAAGAGGTAAAACAGTAACTCAAAATCATTAGATAAACACTTATAACATCACAACACAAACAAAATTAGACATCACCTCTTCTTCATGAGTCCAAAACTCAGTTAACATTGAAGAACTAGCAAAAAACTTACACAAGAAGCAAAACAACATGTTTCTCTCTTTCTGTCACTCTCTACTTAGAGAGTTGCTAGCTGCTGAATATCATAAGGATGAGCATCAGAAGCAGCTTCTCTCTTAAAAGACCTTCTTCCAATAATAATATTAGCAGCTTCACCAGGATGAAACGCATCCCAAAACACATACTCATTCCTATTCAAACATGGAGCTTGACCAGGAAGACAAGTTATCTGTCCATTGTTCCTCCCAACTCCACAACACCCTGCATTTGTCACTCTAAACCCTGCAAAATAAAAAGTATATAAATCTTTGAGCAAAATTATCATGAAAGAGTTTTGAAGATTGGTGCTATATATACCGTAGCGAGCAGGGTTTGTAACAATGTCTTGGAAGATGCCATATGCGTTGATGTAAGTGAACTTGGCGTCTGGTGTGTTCTGGTTAAACTGGTCGACTACAGTAATGAGCTTGCTGTTGAAGAGTCTGTTCGCTGAGTTGATCCTCTCGTCACATGTTGTTCCATCTCTGCTGTTCTGAGCTAGCTCGTTTGGGCTGCAACCGATAGCTCCAACTCCTATTAACGCAAACTTCCTCGCTCCATTGTTATACAATATCTGCTCCATCAAAAATTTCAGTCTCACTCAAGAGTAAAAACTACCAAAACAGAGTATAACTAAAGAAACAGAACAAAAAACAGAGTATAACTAAAGAAACAGAGTCAAAAACAGAGTATAACTAAAGAAACAGAACAAAAACAGAGGAGTTGTAAAGAAGCAGAGGATATAAGAAGTTAAGAGTGTTACAGACCCGGAGTTGTTCGGTGTAACGGGCAATGAGATCGTCACCAAAGGAGTCAGGCGTGAACTGGTTACCAGTAGAGTAAAAAGTGGGCATGAAGTAGTTGTTGAGGTAATCGTTACTGCCTAAGCCGATGGAGTAAATGCATTTGCTGAGGTAACTCGAGGCTTGGTTCTGATCACCGAGTATGTTTGCTAGTTGTGATACAGTGTTCACGTGGTTTGCTACTTGACCTGCAAATGCTATTCTACCTCCCTGAAGAAACATAAACAATTTTGAGAAACTCTAGAACGAGATGCTTATGAAACTAACTATGGACATTTTAGCCAAAATACGGAGATCTTAGAACATGATAATCCATGAATCTTAACAAATGAGTCTCTTAATATTATTCTACTAATATTATAAAATAGTTTAGTTTTATATTTAAATTTAACGTCTAAAATTTGTTTACAAAAAAAAAAAGAAAAAAAAACTTAACGTCTAAAATGAATTAGATCACTTTAAAAAGAAAACATAACATTGGAATTTCTTAATTTTGTTTAATGAAAGACTTTTTCATTTCACTCTTTTCCCCTTTTCATTTTTATTATTATTGGTGAAAATTCAACCAAAATTATTATAGAAGCCGATTGGTTTAAATTTTTGAACAAATTGAACCAAAAACCAACCAAAAATTCATGTACGTAAACCGAACCAAATATGCTAAAACAAATCTTTTAATTACACCTCTATTTGTGTTTTAAAAAATAATTCTCTATCATTATTAAAAATAGATGATAGTGATTCAAAACTAATGCTTATTTAGTTACAATTTTTTTTTAAAAAAGAGTATATTTTGAAGTTCTTTTTGTTCAAAAGAAAACCAAATTAAGCCGTGCCAAGCTTCTATAAACAGAATAATGGATCTAAACCAGTCCAAATAACGGAATGGCTAATATATAGTTGAAAATGTCAGAAATAAATACCAACTGTCTGCCAGTTTCTTCTCGGATACCGGCAGCAGCGGAAGCATAGTTAACTCCTCGGAGGATGTCTTCTCCTCTCGCGGCGGCATACGGTGTAATGTAGTTGTCGAAACCCAAGAGCTCAGCTATTTTTATTTTCAAGATTACCCACAAGAAAACATAGCAACTTAGTTTCTTACTTGTTTCAAGAAAAAAGAGCAGATAAAAAAGCAAGTAAAAATGTATTTAGTTAGACTTACTAATAACATCCACAGTAGTTTTGCCATTGCTAAACCGACCAGTTGGACCGAGAGCGAAATCAATACCGTAAGGAAAGTAATTAGCTCTAGCTAGTGAGTTAAGCTGATTGTTGTTGCCATTATCAACTAAAGAGTCTCCAAATATGAAATAACATGGTGCAATTGGATCACTTGCAACCATGTTAATGGTCATGGCAACCATAATCATCATTAAACACAGTCTTGCCATCTCTCTCAAAGAAGAAGATTACCAAAAGGTAGAGGGAAAGGTGGGTTTGAGAATGTTAAGAACAAAAGTGGGTTTATATAATATAGTTTGAAGGATATGGAGAGGACGAGAAAATTATAGTAATATAAAGTTTTTAACGGTTGAAAAGGCATTAAATGTTCACGCGGCGAGGATGTGTGGATGTGTAAATGTAAAAGTAAAATGAATGTGTGTTTATGTATATCTGAAATAATTGAGGGTTACTGTGGTAGATCCACGATCTATAGACATAACGAAAGATGGTGGAGAGTTAAATACTCTGTCGATGTTGTTTTACTTTCTTTACTGTGACAATGTGACGGTTCGGTTTTAATGTTTTGCTTTGGATATCGAGATGTTGACTTTTCCTTAAACTACCAAAGCTCGAGAAAGTTACTACAAAACTTGTCTGGAGATAAAAAACTGAAGAAACTTATCTTCAGCCAACACTCTGATTACTCTCCAGTGATAGTTGCAAAACGGCAAAAAATATTGCAAAACGAAAATAAAACCAGACAAGGGTACTCGACCCAAAACAGTTGATCAACGCAAGATATATTCAAAATTTATTATTCAGATAAGACGAAGGAAATAGTGAAAAATAGAAATCCAATAAATGTTGCTACTGTAGAAAGTTATGGACCTTCATCAATAGATTTGGTTATGACAAAGTCCATTATTTAAGCAAACATGTCCCAAAGAAAGAAGAAATATAGAGGATAAAAAAAAACTTCAGTTCAATTCTATTCCACCATTCACCAACCCACATGGTTGTTGTATTTATGAACTCTAGTACAACACTATAGACTCAAGATTCCAGCAATGAAAGCCTGAAAACACTGAGAATTTCAATCAATAAAATACTCACTATGGAATGGAGAGATTTAACCAATCAAATAAAATGTTGGATACCCTTAGTGGCACTAGATGTCAATAGGCTTGTGTTTTTCAAAGATTGTTCCCATGATCTTGGCTTTTTCAATACTAATAAATGGGCCTAGATTGATGAGATCATTTTGATGCAGTGGAGAACAAACCTGAAGTTTCTATTTTACGAATTCTTAAGACTCTTATAACTATTAACGAAGAAACAAACCGAGTTACTTGCCTATGAATATCTTAAACTAGCAAATATATCAAACAAACAAATTCGATTTCGTTAGCTGTAACTCATCTGATGAACGGGTTTGAGAAGAAATGTATTGGAGAGCCATCAGCCATGTCCTTTGCTATTTGCTTACGTCGTTACTGCCCACTTCAGGATAGCTTGTAATAACTCTCCATTGACTACTTCAGCTTGCACCATCACTCAAAACTCCCCCAGTGCATCCTAACCAATCATTACACAATAACTAAATTAATATTTTTTAATAGAATTTATTGAAGATAATTCTTGTTTTTACTCTATTTGAATTTAATTGAATTTGATTTAGGCTGATTAAATCCAGTTGAATTATATTAATCCATGACTCAAAACTTTTCGGATTCAGTTATCGGTCTGGTTTTAAAAACATTGCTTATGGTCTATATAAGTTTGAAACTATTTGGATATGATTTGGTTTGTGATGTTTTTTTATTTTGACACTCCTACATGTCATTAATATTAATTAACATTTTTTTCTGTAACTTATGCATTTTTGACTCACAATATAAATTAATCTTATGATATAAACACATAGGGCCATAATTTATGGTCCATAATTCTATTTCTTGTTTTTTTGTCAGCTAAGCTTTGACTTTGAAAATAATCATTCCTATCATCTTCTTGCAAACTAGTATTATTATCTAGAGCAATACTATTGGCTAGTATCTCAAAACAAGTATTTTAACATATTAATATTTCTATTTTAATATAATTTCTCTATATAATCGATTTTAGCTTCTTTGAATTATTTTTTTACCATATTTTTTGAAGGGATTATTTGTGTAATAGTAAAAAAAAAATCAGTTTTTGTAAGAAGAGGTTAGAAAGAGATAGGAAGAGGAAGTAGAGAGAGAGAGAGAGAGAGAGAGAGAGAGAGAGAGGGATTTTTGTTAGTTAGTAAATTATGTTTTTTTGTGTGGTTAAATGACCTAATTTTTTTTTTTTGAAAAACTTTATCATCAATAAGTGGATATAAATTGACATATGGCATTAAAGGTTCTAATGAATGTCACAGAGGTTTTCATTTGAGAAATTATTAGTGAACTCTTTTTCTATTTTTAATTAATTAATTAATTTTTTTAATTAAATTAATTAATTTATTTAAAAAGTGAAATAAATACGCACCTAGATACTTTCCTTGAAACTGTTTTTACCTTCCTCTTACATGAGGCGCTTTTCAAACTGCCTTTTCGAAAATAAAGCACGTGGAAACGTCCACAGTCTAGTTTAGGCATGGACGTTTCGGGTATCAGTTCGGTTCAGTTCGGATACTTCAAGTTTCGGGTAATTCGGATAAGGGGTTAGAAGATTCATTTACTACTTGACCTATTTTTAGGCCGGTACGGTTCGGATAGTTTCGGGTTCGGTTCGTTTCGGATAGTAAAACTAGAAATAAGAAAATACCTAGAAAATTTGGTTCTCATTTAGTTCCGGTTCAGATAAATTATCAGTTATTTAGGATAAAATATCAAATAATTAGAACGATTTAGATAGAAATTTCAGAAATTTTGAAATACTTTGGAGATTTGGAGTATACTTTCAGGTAGTTCGGATATTTTATAATTATTTACTTATCTTTAAATATTTTTAGATAATTTTAATAGATTTTTAAATTAAAATCATATATTTGGTTATGTTATATGTATATAAAATTAATATTATTATATATTCGGGTACCTGTTCGGTTCTCGGTTCGGTTCCGATTCGATTCGGTTATTTCGGATATATAAATATAAGAATCGTGCGGATATCTAAGGGTTTCGATTCGGTTCCGATTTCGGATATTTTGCTTTGGTTTCGGTTCGGTTCTTTAGTTCCGGTTTTTTTGTCTAGGCCTAGTCTAGTTATCAGAGGATGAAGATTTACAGATGTTAATCCACTTAATTTAAGATGCTATCAAACTTTTAATAAGAAGATGAGCATCATTAACTAATATAATATATAGTAGTTATAGATTAAGTCATAAAATAATTACATCCAAGATATGTAAAACAATCACTGAATATGGTTAGAAGCACAAACTGGATATGTACCAAAAGTGAAGATAAACAGGAATGTTGTAGTATCAAAGTCAACATTATATTCTGTTTTATCTTGTAAGTAATATTTCAAAGATTCAGTATGTCAATAATTGGACCAATCTAAGGATTTAAACTTTTGGGAAGTCATAACCTAAATTGGGCCATCTCTATACCATCTACTAGTAACAACTTGGCCCAAATCAAACATAGTCGTTTACTCCATCCAGTCTAAATTTAATCCCCGTTTCACACTTGTTACAAACCTAACACAAAGTGTTTGATACTTTGATGAAATCCTGATCATAACATAAAATGCAAAATTTAATGTTGGTGTTAATATTATCAATACGCCTCCTTGCAGGTGGGTCACGTATTGATAATATTAATACCACCACTAATCTTTTTGCATTTTATGTTATGATAAAATATTTTGTTTGGAATGCATTTGATTTAACAAATATATTATACATAGATAGGTTTGTATATATTTACATGATTCATAGTTCTCCCCAAATGGTTATTAGAATAATATTTTTGAAAAGAGAATAATATCGTTTGCAGACTAGATCAGCCATACAAAGTGGCGGTTCTTGTCATAAGGTCATCCAAAATCTCGAGCTAACCTCTTCAAACGTATCACGCCCAAATTCTAAGAATCGTATTATTTACATATCAAATTATTACTTTCTGAATCTAGGAAAGGACCAATGCATGTTTTTAAGATATAAAGGTCTTCTTGCTGGTTATTCTGACAAATCACAATTCACATTTCACACCCAACACCCATCAAAGACCACATATTTATAGGTTAAACAAGGCAGATAAAAATAAAGCAGTTTAACGATCCCTTTTGTTATATTACAACATTGAAATAAGTGGATCTAATTGTTTTAAGAGTGATCATTCAAGGTTGCTAACTCGATCTCATTTGTAAAAGATAATTTACGCCTTAAATGTGGTATATGGTTGATACGAGAAAAATATATTATGGACCTAAAGTCTGAAAATTCCGCTGTTTATAAAAATGGTTGTAATTTTTCAATTTCTCTGTCAATCTTTCTCGGTTGTTTACTCATATCTTTGCTACTTGAATGTCATCTTTATCTAAACAATGTTTGATTTTAATAAAATTTTATATTGTTTGAGTAATTTTTAACAAAAAACATTGCTCTGTTAATGAGTTTATTATAATTGTGTATATATGATTCATTAAGTTAATAATAGAGAAGTCATTTCTTGATATAGTCGATACAATTTACAAATTGTTGTCTATTCTGTGATATCTCTGAATTGTTATCTATAGTTTTAATTATATTCAGTTAACCTTTAATTCAGCAAAATCTTATAGTATATGTAAATATTATATATTCCTTCTGTTTCAAAAAAACTTATTTTAGCATTTTATTTATTTTCCCAAAAGTATCATTTTATTTTTAATACAAAACTATAAATAATTTTCTAATTTAATTTCATTAATCTAATGTATTAATTAGAGAGAGAATTTTAGTGGATAAAAATGTTTTTTTTTACTATTTTTTAATTTGTGTGAAAAAATCAAAATAATTTTTTTTTAAAAAATGGAATATATTTTTAAATTAAAATAACCTTCAATTCTATGTTTTAAGTCAATTTCGATTAACATTAAGTTCTACAAATTCAGTTAAATTTTAATTTCTGGACCTTACTTTTACAGTGGATCTTTATTAAATGATTAAATTGGCTTACAATCTAATGGTAAATTCTGTAATTATCACGTCGTAATACTCCAGTATAATTTATTTTTGGGAAATCAAAGTGTTGTTAATATGGGGTTTTGTTTGGAATGTTGATTATATAATTTCTGGAAACTCCTTTAAACATGATTTTGAAAAGTGTTACCCTCCGTTTTGA